GCAAAGTCTCGCTTTATTAATACAAAGACAAAAAATAAATACAATGATCAGGACGTAACTCTGCTGATACATGAAGACTATACTAATAATGATTGTGTAATACATACAGCTACTTCTTAATAAATTTTTTTGTCCTTGCTTTCCTACTATCTGGTGAGTCATTAACTTTGACCCTATCCTTCAACAAACTTACGATTACCTCTATAACCTTTTTAACACCTTAGCGAAATTTTGCATCATTTTCCATTATTTTTTTGGTAAGTACTATGTGATAGTCATTTTTTGAGCAATAAATCCTTTCCGGTGTATATATAATAAAGCTCCAAACTGTTCAGGCTAAACTGGGAAACTGATCCAAAATTGGCTTAAAATTTGGTTCAGTTCAGTTCAGGTATTAGAACTGAAAAACTGGCAGTTCAGTTCAGTTTAATCTGATTTTTTATAAAAATGCGAAAAATCAAATAGCTATCTATCTAGCAATCGTATAAAGTCAAGCCATATATCATTGGATTCGTCTCGATAAGACACGTCGAATGGTGGTAAAATCATATTTCTAGCATTGATATACCACACATTAACCTACCCTAAATGATTTATAAATAATTGGAATTAGCAAACCATCTATTAGTGCTAGAGATATGATCTTAGCACCATTCAACGTGTCTCAGTGAGACAAATCCAATGAATATAAATTCGTCTGTATACAATCACTGTATGGCAAATAATGTCAAGTTTCGCATTTTTTAAAATTTCCGAGCGTTAAAAATTAAAAATTCTGATACATAAATTTATTCGTTGTCCAATGATCGTACAAATATGAATTAGGACTCATTGGATTCGTCTCGATGAGATGAGTCGAATGGTGGTAAGATCACGTCTCTAGCATCAATAGATAGCTTGCTAATGCCAATTTTTTATAAATCATTTAGCATAACTGAAATTAACATATGATCTATTGATGCTAAAGACATGATCTCACCACCATTCGACTCATCTTATCGAGACGAATCCAATGAGTCCTAATTTATATTTGTACGATCATTGGACAACGAATAAATTTATGTATTGGAATTTTTAATTTTTAATGCTTGAAAATTTTAAAAAAATGCAAAACTTGACATTATTTGCCATACAGTGATCATATACAGACAAATTTATATTTATTGGATTTGTCTCACTGAGACATGTTGAATGGTGCTAAGATCATGTCTCTAGCACTGATAGATGGTTTACTAATTCCAATTATTAATAAATTATTTAGCGTAGATTAACTTGTGATCTATCAATGCTAGAGACATGATCTTACCACTATTCGACGCGTCTCGTCGAAACAAATCCAATAATATATGGCACAACTTTGTACGATCACTAGATGGACGGCTATTCAATTTTTCACATTTTTATAAAAATTAGATTAAACCGAACTGGACCGCCAGTTTTTCGGTTCAGTTCTTATGGATTTTGGCTCTAATCCAAACCGTCTATAATCCAGACCAAACTGACCTGTTTGGAGCCTTAGTACATGAGAAAGTACCAATTTGAGGCTAAATGAAGAAAGACACAAGTTAAGCAGATAATTTTATAGGAATTTGGAAAACAGCTATTTATTATTATTATGGAGTCAGTATAATATGACAGATAATAATGATAGTGAATATCCAAAAATCCTATCCTAGTATATCATATTAATTGTCTTCACTGGCCTAGATCAGGAAATGGAAAATGTGCACATTGTAATAGTATTATTACATATAAAACATGGTGTCAGTCATGTAATTCTAATATTCTTATTCAATTATAAATGTTACTGAACTTGTAAGGTAAAAATATATGTAATTTAAAAATGTAACTGGAAAGGTGGTAAAATTACTTAGTAGAAGAAAAATTTGGAGTAAGGTGAATTTACATATAAATCTTAAAAATTTTACGGTGACCTCTATTAGAAGTAAACGGCATCCTTTTATATCCCTTTTATTTAATGAGTCTTTTATATCTTACATTCTTACTTCATATATTTCAGTTTTCATTGATTCTATTATACATTTATCCTAGTATTTTGCATGAATCAAATTAGACTGAATTAGGATAAATTTGGAATTTAATTCAATTGAATCAAATCTAAAAATTTGAATTCAGATCTGAGACAAATCAATTTAAATCTGATTCGAGATTTAATTCAAATTTAATTTGATTTGATTTAGATTTGATCTGATTTAAGTCCAAATCAAATCAAATCAAATTTCAAATTATTAAAACAGATTTGTAATTTGATTTGATTTGATTTGGATTTAATTTGATTTGAATTAATTTAATTCAATTTAAAAATTTGATTCAAATTTGAATTTAATTTGAAATTCGATTTGATTTAGTTTAAAAATTTGATTTGAATTTGAATTTGATTTAAAATTTAATTTGATTTAATTTGAAAATTTGATTCAAATTTATTCAAATTTAATAATTTAATTTATTATTTATATTACAATTTACAAGGATTTTTAGTTAGCAATACTTATTAAAAAATATTTGCAATATTAATATTTAATATTGTTATTGATATTATATTATATTAATTATTAAAAAAAACTAATTATTTGAATTTCAAATAAATCACAACAGCAAATTCTAATAATTGTTAAAATTAAAAATTAAAAATTAGTTAGTTAAAATTTTTACAATGATCCTAATATTATTAAAATTAAAATTAATTATTCAAATAAATCACTTAATGAACTCGAAACATTAATTTTAAGCACATGCAAAATCTTATAATTTTTCCTGCCAATTTGTTATGCTTATTAGTAATTAAATTTTTACTAATTGAAAAACATTCTTTTGAAGGAATACTGGTAAAAGGTATAGCCAAATAATTCCTCGCCATTTTAACAAGTCTGGGAAACTGGATTTAATTTACTTTTTACCATTGAAGTGGATCAACACTTTCATCACAAACTGGTGATAAAGGGTATATTTGAAATTTATCAATCTCTTGAATACATTTTTATTTAAATACTTTTGATGTAATTAAATTTTTATATTCATTATTCAAAGAATTGCTTAAAGTTGAATTTGAATTTGAATTAAAATAAGTAAAATTATAAATATTTAAAAATCTAAAAATTAATATTTAAATATTGTTAGTATATATATTAATAATATTATAAATTATAATTAAAATAAATTTTAAAATATTAAAAATATTAACTTTTTGTGAATTTCCTTTCTCTGATTATCATTTCATATTTTGTAATATAATTTAAAAATTAAATTTAATTACTTAAAGTTAATAAACTATCTGTTATCTCCAATTCAGATATAACCTTTTTATTAATGTGAAATTTCTTTATTTAAAGTCTACCAGACAAAGTGATTTGAAATGAAGAAATATATGCTAGATTTAAATTTTTAAATAAATCTAAAACAAAGGGATTTTTGACAACTTTAAAAGGAATTCCTACCATTACCCATATCTTTAATAAAGAACAATCAATATGGTTATTTATTTCAGAAGGAAGTAGCTCATTTGAACTAAAATAGTTTACAATTTTGGTTTGTTTATACTAAAGCTTTGGAATTTGAATTTGATCTTATGAAAAATGCATCTTTCAGATATAATTTACTGTATTTTTAGTAAGTTTATCATATTAATATTTGCTAATATCTTTGAGATATGCCAAATATTTATTTGCTAAGTGGTTTTTAAAGCTACTGACCTTTCCCTTGACTACTTCTTTTTGCAATAATAATATATAACTTTATAATGACTTGAATTTAATTCTTTTTCTTGAGTAAGATATTGCTATACTTCATTAAATTTTGGGTCTTCTTTATTAGTTTTCTTTCGTAAAAGAGGAATTTCAAATAAAGTGTTATTACTATGCTTTTGTAAATCAGTTTTAACTGTTTCTATTATAATGAATTATAGGTCATAACACGAAAAGAAGTAAATTTTATGTTTATCAAATTTATTATAATTTATTATAAAAATGGGATCAGCAAATATATTGTACTTCACAAGTATATATTTAAAAATTTTTTTAATAAAAAAGTATTTTTTGCAGAGATAAGATACAATTTATTATTAAGTTACGTCAAATACAATATATTATACATTACACTTTGCATCAAATATCATTAATTATAGTATTGGCTAGCATTATGTTAAACATCACAAGTTGTAACATACATTATTCAGACATTACGCATTATTATAATCCATGAGAAAAGATAAGACTGCACTTCTATTCATTATATATATAATATAGTAAAAGAAAAGAAGAGCAACAAATAGTTAATTTTGATTAACTATTTAAGTAATATTACCTTATTTACCTATGGTTATACTTAGTTAATTTCTTTTTTTTTAAGATATATGTAATTTTATTAATTATAAAATTGTATATTTTACAAATATTATCTAATAAATTGAATTTATTTCTATTTTTTAAACTTTACTAAAGGTTTTTAAAAATACTAAATTAATTGAATTTTTTTTTTATTTTATATTTACTAAAAGTAATAATTTTATTAATATTTATTTACTTATAATATAAAATTTTTTAAAATAAATAGAAAAGAAAAATAAAAAAGAAAAGTAAAATGAAATGAAAGAAAATTTTTTGTTTACTTTAAAAAAAATTAATATTAATAGTAAAAACACAATATTACCTAAATAAATCTTTAGAGTAAAGTATTATTAATAGATTTTTTTAAAAAAAAACTACATCTAATAAAGACAAAATTTTTTTTAGTTATATAGTAATGGAAATCAGTTGTTTAAAAGATAATAAAAAAGAAATTTTAATAAAATACAAAAGTAATTATAAATTACTATATAAGTATTTTACTATTTTTAATAAATATACAAATTGTTTTTATTGCAATAAATAAGCAATATGTTTTTTCTTTTTTTGCTAAATTTAAATCAAATAAAAGTAAACTTTTCAGAATAAATTTTTTAGTTTAAATATACAATTTTATTATGTAATTTATTTTTTTTGAAATTTTGAAGAGATATTAATACTAAAAAAATTTATAGTTTAAAATTAAAATTAGTTCAATTATTTTTTATTTTTCTAGTTTTTTTATTGATTCATTATCACCCAATTCATGATTTTTATGTAATTGTATTTCTACATAAATAATTATTATTAATTAATAAATAATTAAAATATTTAAAAACAGAATTTAATAACTTACTGAATCTGTATTCTAAAGGATCTTTTTCTATTATAACTTGAGCAATATTTTTTTGTAAAATTGATGCTACTTCATTAGCTTGATTTATATACTATATAAATTCATAATTTAAATGCAATGAAATAGAATTATAAATTAAAAAAGTAATAAACTTTCGTATCTAACCTCCTGTATTTTGTTTATGTCAATTTCATCTTTGTTATTTAGAAATTTTTCATATGTTTCACGTTTTGCCTCTAAACAGAAATAAAAAATCTATATATTCATATTGTAAATGAAGGGATAAGATTTAAAAATAAAAATACCTCTTATTGCAAATGTATCACCTTTTAAATAAAAAATCGTTTATAAAATATATAATTTTTTTAATTATCAAAGAAATCTTTTTATCATACCTTTGAACGTTTCTTTTTGAATTCTCAGTAATTGTTTATAAGCACGAAATACAGCATATCGAGTATTAAGTGTTGTCATGATTTCTTAGTGTGTGGAAAAAATTTTTTTTTTCCGTCAAATTTGATCGTCACCGATATATTTACACATATGGTTTAATTAATTAATTAAATTGCAGATTAATTAAAAGATTGCCTACCACACGAGGGGTCGACTACTATAAGTTTCTTTTTTAGGATACTAATAAACTCTTATTATTTTCTTATACTTGTTTAGAATCAAGATAATTTCCGGAGATATTCGGAAATCATTTGAAATCATTTTCAGCCGACCACGTATATTTATGTCAATCCTTATTTTTATGATCTTTACGTGTCAAAACGTTAACATATTATTCCTAACGTACCCCGGTTACTATTGCAGCAAATTATAAATAAATGAAATTCTTATTTTTACTTCTTTTTTTTTAAAGTTATCTTTTTGCATTTAAAGTGTGGGAAAGTTTCTTACATAACATACATAACTCTTCCTTGTGGCGTATTTATAAAAAAATTTTGTTGCCATTTGTATCCGTATATATTTATTTCAATAAAAACCGTATTTGTATTTACCTAATTAAGTTAGTTCGATTATTTACTTAAAAGAAAGGTTTTTCCCGACAAAAAAAAGCTATTTTTAATTTTAAAGAAAAGCAGGGAACAAGTTTATAAATTGTATTTGAAATAGAATAATGTATTGGAATGGATTCTTATCGACTTTAAATTTTATAATAATGTCAATTGGTCCATTCTTTGCTCCCACTCATACAATAGAACCTATATCGATAGTAAATCATATTGGAGAATCACCGGCTGTAAATCCTCTAAACAAAATAATTTGGACAAGTTCACATTGCCAAGATTTTTTGGCTGGTGAAACGAAAAGTTTTAACGAACCAACAATATCTTCAGCTGTAAATACTGCTGCAGTGAATGTTCAAAGAATACACAATAATGGAAGAAAACAAAACTTAAATAAGAATAGATCAAAAAAGAATCGAACAGAAAATTCATCTCGTACAATGAACAATATATCCACTAATATATCAATCAATGAAAACTTTAATCCTGTAGACAAGAATAATAATGAGAATCATGATTCTCCAGATCAAAAAAGACCAAAAAAACGAATCAGTAAAACACCAGAGAACTCACAAACCATAGAATCTTTAGATGAGGAGGGCGACATTGGTGCCGTATTCGAGAATGTTGATTCTTCTCATGGGTTGATTTCAGAATATGATACTTCGGATTTATCAAAATTAAAAGAACGTTTTAATTATGCTTCAATCGATTGTGGCGCTAATGTATTAAAAGCAAACAAGGAAGCGAAGGGTACTTCTGCTATTTTATCTGAAAGCAAAGACTCTTATTTACTCAATGATTGTTCTGTAGAGAATTATATCGTTGTAGAATTATGTTATCCAATTCTTGTGGATACCATTGTATTAGCGAATTTCGAATTTTTTGCTTCTACTTTCAAAGACATTCGAATGTCTATAAGTAAATGGTATCCACCAAAAGAGGATTGGAAAGTTATTGGTGAATATCGTGCAAAGAACTCTAGAGAATTACAGGTTTACTATAATTTTGATCTCGTTTATAATTGATTTCATTCTGCATATTGGTAACTAATGATTTTTTTCTCTTTAGATTTTTAATATAAAAGCTCCTATAATGTTTGCAAAATATATTCGTATTGATTTTAAGACACATTATGGACGCCATCATTATTGTCCAGTTAGTTTACTTCGTGTTCATGGAAATAGTGAGACAGATATGTGGAATAAAGAACAGGAACAAGCTTCATCAACATCACAAGAAGGAAGTCAATTGAATGATGAACCCGATGATGATCAAATCTTATCAGCTTCTATTGAATCAACTGAAGAAGGTTTAAACGAATTATCAAAAGAAATTCGAAAAAATTCGGAATATCTTGACAATTTGAAAGATGAACTTCCAGCTCACATGAATCAAGGAAATGGAATTACAAAGTTAAATAATCAAAACATGGGTGTTAAAGCATATCTAGACAAGATTAAGAGAATTTTTGAATACGGAGTTTGTCCTAAGAATGATCTTTTAAATATTAAGATCTTTCAGGATGATTCACTTATAATAAATCCTGGAATATGTTATATTGATCAATGCCCTATTGTTGTTACAGAATCTGATATTCTGTCCGATAATTATAATGTTCAAGAACCTGACAGGCGAAGAAGAGAATCAACAAAAGAAAAACCAACTCGTAAGCATTATAAAAATGATAACAATGGTAAAATTAATTTACCAATCGGCGGACCAAATCAGAGTACATATATGTTTTTATATAGAGGTATTCTTACACTTGAATCGACCACCAAGCGATACATTGAAGAGCAAAGTAAAATATTCAAGGAAATTTTTGAAAAAGTCAACTCTCATTCAAAGAAATTAGATTTAACTATGGATCATTTCACTAACACAGTTGGGAATCTGGTGTGTATAATTGAAAGGTTATTTTTAAATGTTTATTAAATTTTATTGATGTTACGATAATAATAACTTTTTTGGCTTTAGAAAAAACATTACGAGCAATTGCTTCAAACCACCTTTTCGGAATTTCATACTAATCAAAGTAGACTAGAGGAAGATTTAAAAAATCTTACTTCAAATGTTCATTTACTAGCTGCAGAGGTATTTACATTTTCCTAAGAAAATTTTTTTTTAACTCTATTAATATTTTTATTATTTTATTTTTCAAAATAGGTCGTCTTCTTGAAGAGACTTCTATTATTTGTTTTTCTTTCATTTCTGATCTTTATAGGTGTAACTCGCGACTGGGTAAATATACGAATATCTTTACAGGACCTTCATGCTGCAATGAACGCGCGAGCGTTGGCACTTAAACTCAAAGCAATTCCAAAAAATAAGCTACGAAAAAATAAAGATGAATGTGAGTTTCTTAAACTTATTATTTTAAAATTAAACAATTCGCTTTTTATTTATTTTATTTTATTTTTTTCAATAGTTTACGATGATGATAATGTTCACGATATTTATAGCGAATGATGATGTTATAAATTGTTGTTCCGATTTAATCGACTTAATTATTGTAATAATAATGTACGCGAGGAGAAAACATAATTATGTAACTTATTCTAACCTCTGGGATAAATCAAAAATCTAAAAACATTTAACATAAAAATAGAGATGAACAATTTATTTTAGTTTAACATTTCTTTTAACTTTATTGTTTAATAATGTTAGAAGTATGTAGGGAGGGATTTTTTTTTTCTTTGTAAATTATTTTATTACCAAAAGTAGTTTTTATACCATCCTTTTTTCGGACATTTCATATTGTATTATTTTAAATTTTTATGAATTTGTATAAAGCTTTATTGTTTTTCCTATTAAAAAAAAATAGATAATATATGATTTGTTCCAGCAGGTTATATCTTACATCTTACATTTTATTATCTAATTAATTTTTTTTAATTATACAAGTTAAAAAATTATTATTTTTACTAACGAAAAAAAATCATAAGTATAAAAGTATTTTTTAATACAAAAAACTTCAATTAATAAAAAAAAACATTAATGCTGAATATTAATTTTAGCTATACATACAAAGATACATAATAATAATAAATTAAATTAATTTAAGTGTAGCACCTCTTTTAAGTTTTAGAGTGGATGATCTTTTTACTTCTGATATATCATCCATTCCTTCGGGTTTTTGTAAAGGATGGTTTACCTACATAATTTATGAATAGATTATTTATAAGGTTCGGTAATATTAAAAAAATATATAGAGTGTATAGTAAATGTTACATACGTCTTCTGATTGTTTTTCTTCACTTTCTTCTTCACTTTCTTCTTCCTCTTCTTCTTTATCTATTTTCTCATACCTCTTTATACTATCAGGATTTGCGAAATAATAAATTAACGAAGGAAAATAATCTTTTCTTCTTCTTTGTGCTGGTGTAAATGTATACATTTCAAGTTCTGCAATAATCTGTTAGTTTATAGATAAACTCAATTAATATTTTCACACTTATAAACACACGTACCGAATAATAATAATAATTAAATACCTCAGCTTTTTGCTTAAGCCATGCTTGTTTACCACTAAGTTTAGTTTCAGTTACCACATCAGACATAAGAGCAATTAACACGTTCAATAATACTATGGCACTAACAAAAGTGAAAACTACTATCATTACAATTATTGTAACCCTCTCTTTTAAATGATCAACCGGCCCAAATTCTCCAACCTAATTAATAAGAAATAAAAATTTAATTAAATCAAATCAAATCAAATCAAATTAAAAAAAAAAGACTCACCAAAAATAGATAAACGGATATGAGAGAAGTATTATATTTATCAAAATCCGATCCTGGATCACCTCCATCTCTTAATAAAATATGTAATATATGCGCAAAAGCAAATACCATTCCACCTATAATTACTATTACCCAAAAAACTTTTCTAAATATTTGAAATATTATGAAAATCGGTACTCCAATATTTCTAAACATTCTTAATTGTAATATCTAAAATAAACAAATTAAACAAATTAAACAAATTAAACAGATTAGAGAATAATAAACCAATTCAAACCAAAATACATCATCTACTTACAAAGTTTAAGTAAACAAACATCATAGCAGTACCACGTAACCCTTCAGATGGCTTTTCATCTCTTATATATTGTTCAGCAACAACCATAGGAAATACACTACGAGCCAAATCTAACAAATTATAAGGGTTAAACCAATAACTTCCTAATTGTCCAAACATTTGCATTAATTCCAATCCAAAATATGCAGATCCAATAAATAGTACAATTATCATAGCAATTTTTCTTATTATATTATCCTCTTTAATCGATACTCCAATCAAAAATGCAGTCGCATAAAATAAATAAGCGGATAACAAAAAAAATGCTCTTATTCTAGCAAATTTTCTCCATTTAAAATTAATTATAGCTTCTATAGCAGGTTCACCAAACATTTCATATCTACCCGATAAAGCTTCTTCAACAAAAGGCGATTTATGTTTACGATATAACATATAATTCCATATTCTACGCATGAATGGAAACTTACTCGTTTCAACAGGTTCTTGCATACTTTTTGGTGTAGGTTTATATACAGTAAAGTCTGGAAGAGGTACAACACATTCTCTAGCTGGATGTGTTTTATGTGGTATTCTAACCAATTCAGTTGCACTTTCTATCTGTCTATCAATTTCTTTCTCACTTTTTGACCACCACGTCATTAATCTTTGCCATAAATTTTCTTCGGCTTCACGTTCTAATTCTTCAAGTTTCGCGTAAGCATAATTTTCTTCTTGATCTGTTCTAATAATATCATCTCTAACAGGTAAATAGCTAATTCTTCTCATAAATTCTAATGCAAAATCTGGATAAACTGTTCTCAATGATGCAAATGCTGGTACTACAGTTATTGTCCATGATATAGGATTTTCTTCACATCTTCTACAGTAGTAATCTAATAATAAATGTACAACTTCTGTCTTTCCAAGGTTAATTGCTCTAGATAATGCTGATTTTGTTCTATCAGGGTCATGAAATCTTGGTATATGCTTATCAGTTTTCAAATGTTCTTTGATCAACTTATCAGCATATGAACAATCCACTTTAATTAATATCTCTAATGGTGATTGACCATCAACTATATGATTGAACACATGTGAATGATTGTGTATCGCATCACAAATTACCGTTTGACATTGTGTAAGTAATTTCCTAAAATGATCGCGTATACTTTTAGAACTAATTTGAATCCAATTTAATCTTTCAATATAAGCCAAATAACCTAATGATCTTGCAGCATTTGACACAATATCAAAAGTACCAGATTCATTCTCATCTGGCAATAAAAGATCAAATCTGAATATATTTTCGGATTCTACGACAACTGTCATTAACCTTATAGGAGGTTTACTAAGTTCTGGTGGTTGGTGAATGTTTACCCTATAATAAATAAAATTATTTAATTAATAAATTATATTTAAAATTAAATGATTAAGAGAATTAATTATTTACTTTGAGGGACTTCTATGATCTTGCTCATTAACTTGGCATCGAAGTGCTACCACGTACCGACCATCATCAGATCTCCGAAGAGTGGCATCATCGATGGTGGCGTATATCATTCTTGAAGTTTGGCCCTTTTTATTCTAAAAAATCAATAAATCAATAATAAATTCTCAATATAATTTGGATAAAAATTCGATATACTTATATATATAACTATACTCACCTTTACTGGACGACACCAGATAAATTGTAAACGTGGAGGTTCGCCGTTTTTAAATATCCAAATTTGTACAGTATAATGACCAATAAATAAAACTCTTTCCCTATTAGGATCTAAACAAAATCCAGATTTAATAGGAGCATAAATAAGCCAAGGTTCAATACGTAATTCTACAATAGGATGATCGTCATGAAGCATTGATTCATTTTTAGAACCAGAAGGATATTCATATAATAATTCTTTACTATTATACTCATAAATTTTATTAAAGCCACTTTCCAAAAAATGATGTTTGCCAATAATTTTTTGTTTTGAATTTTGAATTTGATAAGATTTTGGAGTTTCAATTTCGTGTAACTTAGGTAAATCATCCTTAAAGGTTACATAAATATTTTTTCCATTTGGTTCAAATAAACAAGTACTTTTAATATTATTAAATTTTTTAACAATTTCACAAGTATAAATATCCCAAATCTGAACACAATTCTCTGCTGAATCTGTTCCAGTCGAGCAAGTTGTTATTATATGTTCATCATCTTCTAACCAATGAATTTCTAATTTATTTAAGTTAGTTAACGACACGTCAATTTTGTTTGTATTATGTAATGATGAAGCGAACACAAGTCCTCCTTCGCACAGAAATATCGTTAAAACTCCTTTTGAAGTCCATGCTGCTAACATTTGTTGATTATGTGATAACGCAAATAAAGTTGGTGAGGCATCCGCGTCAAGAAATGAATCATTTTGCACACATTTAAAACGTGAGACCAATTGTCCTGTCGATAATGACCACAACAATGCTGTATCCCACTTTAATTCGAAAAAAAAGGAAAAAGAAAAAAATTATACATATATATTTTTATTTATAGAAATTATTAAAAAATTTGACCAATCTTTTTTTTTTTACTTTGATTCTTACCTGTTCAACAAAAATAAAATGTCCAGGTAAAAGAGAATTTTTAACAGTATTAATTTGAGACCAAGGATGAGGTATAACTTGCAAAGTATCAGTAAAATTATTAATCACAAGTTTATGCCGAATTTTCCAACTATCAGTTGAAATGACATATATAAAATTAATTTCATCAGTTTGTGAAGTAAAATTATTATTATTTTCAACATTTTCAACATTACATATAACAAATGATTCGGAGTCCTCAGTAAATTTAATGGTTCCAGTTAATCTCATTAAATATCTACGAAAAACTGGCCTATCACGTGGTCTTTTCACAATGTATGTATAAAATTTTGTAGCTTTATTTGGTGGAGGATGAACCAATTCGAATGCTGTAAGATCTTCTTCGTCTTGTGGTAATTTTATTAAACTTAAAGCTACATATTTTCCATCATTAGATAGTGCAAAATCTATATTTGTCATTCGTAATTTTTGTGTGAATGATGATACAAAACTTTTTCTATACTCCCAATAATCCCGAGGTTTCAAATCTGTTGACATTGGATTTGAATGCCATATTGGCTCAATTTTACTTATTGCTCTTTCTTCATATAATCCTCTATTTTTTATTTGCCATATAACTAATTTTCCTTCCTTTGAAGCATAAGTTGCTATATGTTCTCCATTTGGAGAAAATGTTACTACATCTATTACTTGTCTAAATGGTAATGATGAATAATCTAAAGACGTCATTTCTACATTTGTATCCATGTTAATATAATCATCATCTGAATTAAATGATGGTGTTGTTTGAATTAATGAATATTTCTTTTCTTGATTTTCTTCCATTATAAATTAAATTTTTTCTTAAAAAAAAACCAAAAACAAAAACAAAAAAGAAAAAAGAAAAAAGAAAAAAGAAAAAGAAAAAGAAAAAGAAAAAGAAAAGGAAGTAAATAAAATAATTTTTTTTTTGCTCCTTAAATTTACTGTATATATCCACAATAAATAGTATAGAACAATTAAATGGAAAATTGGAAAATTTTTTACTTTTTTTGATATAAATTTTTGTGAAAGGGTGTACCAAGCGTAAATGTGTTGATAACCGCCCGCCATAACGCCAATCTTAACCAAACTTCAAATATAACATCAAATGAAATTACTTCCCGCTAAAAAAATTTGCGAGAAGGAAAATTTTTGAATTTTAGATAATATACAGTTTAATGTTATGTACATTGTGTACTTGCTTGTTAGATAATTTTGTTGATGGCTAAGCTGCAAATGATCATTTGTGGCTGAGCGGTAATAATCCGATCAATAACATTTCTTGTATTTTTAGGCAGTAGTTGAATGCGCCTAAATTCCACCGCAGCAATAAAGCACTGACCGTGTAACACTCTAATTATGTAATCAGAAACAAATAAGGCGAGTCTTAGCCTTGTGGAAATTAGATTAAACAAAAATTCTTTTAAGGAACTTCTGCTCAAATAAGGTAAAGAGTAGTTACTCAAAGACTTTTCAGGTTAATCCTTGCGCTAAGCAAAGCATCATTTACACATGTTCATAATTTCCATTATGCAGCATTATAAAATTCTGACAACCATATAATATAAATCATCCCTTATAAGACGAAATCAGGAATAACTTTTTGCAATTAGTAGACACTGTAATATTTCTACATATAACCATAGAAAAGCATTGTGAGATTTTACACTTGATATGAATGATACAATAAATATGTGACCGCTCCTAGGTTTTCCAACCATGCAAAGAAATAATTTTGAGTTTATACGGCAAAATGAATAAATAACAAAATCATGATTGCGAATTTTGATCATATGTGAAGAAATAGTGTACCCCATAAATATGAATTAATTCGATCAGATTATTTCTGAAGAGATAGAATTTTAAATGATACAAAAGTTATTTATTTATTTATTTATTTTATGGATAGTAAGGAGGAAGACAATGAAAATCACAAAACTATTCTACCGAATATGACTGGAAAACATTATAGAACCTCGCCCACAACAGCGAACGTATTTTCTAAACATCTATTTATTTATTTATTTATTTATTTTATGGATAGTCAGGAGGATTACATTGATTATTTAAAAGCTATTCAAAAGAAAGGAACCAAATATAAAAAAACACAATATAGAAACTTCGCTCATAACCAGGGAAATCCCTTGAAACAAGCCAAGCCCTAACTAGAAATATATATATATAAAAACTGACTAAAGACCCAACCGAATTTAGACAGTGAGTATTTTCTACTACACTGATAATTTGTGGACAGATAATTTAAGATGAAAACCCGAATCATGTGACTTTTCGTCGACTACAATTTTGCTAAAAAAAGTTAAATTAATATAATGTTATTTTCACAAATTTATACAATTATCAAACTATTTCTATTAAGGTATAACTTCTAATAAAGGTTACAAAATTTTTAATTATAGTTGCTAATTCAGTACTAATTATTTTTGCAGCAGTTAATATAGGAACTTTTTATTGTCAAAGATGTTATTTTATGCCTTTTTACTAACCAAATCATTAGAACTTTAGGAAAATTCATTTAGGAAAAATCTAGAGTAAGACTAATATTATTAGTATTTTATAAATATTTGGCTAAACTTGCAAATGTAAAAAAATTAATAAATGAATAAAATGGCCAATATTAATACTATCAATATAATATTCAGCATTCAAATAAACTATAAATTATTAGATTTGATTACTGGATATCAAAAATACTTTTATTATTAACTATTTCAGCTTTTAAAAGATAAAGTCAAATTAATTTTAATTATTTTAACCATTTTAAAAGTTGAAATTAACCTAATTTTGATTTCATATATAATCATAATATAAATATTATTATTATATATATACTGTAGAATAAATTTCTTTTAAATTATTAAAAACTATTGTTTAAATAGGTTTATTAGAATCCAAAAATATATATATAGGAATTAAATAATAAAAAATTTTTTTACTTTAAGTTATACACAAAGACTTTTTATATAAGTAATATATATAATAAGTGATATTTAATATTAAAAATCCTACAAAAACATGCAAATAAAATTTAAATATTAAATTTATATTAATTATATAAACTCAAATACTAATATAAAAAAATAAAATTTAATTTTTAAAAATTTTCTTTAATTAATACTAAATATTACAATATAATTAGCTAAATAATAAAACACAGGTTGAAAAGTAAAAAATCGGACATCAATCAGTCACCAATCGGTCACCAATCAGGTAGCTGGTTGGTGACCGATTGGTGACTGATTGATGCCTGATTTTTCACTTTTCGACCTGTGGTAAAAGGTTGGTTTGATAATAAAATATTTATTAAATCCATGATTTTTAATTTTTTATGTAGTTTGTCTATATTAACATTGCAAAAATTACATGTATAAATTTAATTTTAACAGCATAAAAAGAATATTTGACGTATATTACATACTGTAATCAAATAATAAATAAATATTTTTCAAATTTAAAAATCTTTTATATATTAAATAAGATGTAAAAGTCATCTTTAATAAAAATTTTTCAATATATATCCAATTAGTATCCAATTTTAATAAAAATTGACTCACAAAGACTTTAAAATATTTTGAATTTATGTGCAAAATTTCAGTATATATTATTATGTGGGATGGAGTAAAAATGTACTATTACTAAGGTTGCTTGGTTAAACTTATTTTAACTTTTAACAAAAGTCTAAACTTTAATTAGTAATAGTTTAAACTATGACAAAAGGTTTCAACAATAGCTAAATGTCTAAACTATGTCTAAACTTTCCAATTAATAAAATTTAAAATAAATAATTATTAATATATTATTATTATATATATTTAAATAAATTTTTTACAAATAAATATTATATAATTATTAATAAATATAGTTAGACTTCCATATAGTAACATTTTATATAATTACATCATATAAAATTTCTCCTTATAATCACATCTTTGGAAAAATCCAATTTATATACTTATTATATACAAAAACCTTTATATAATTACATTATAGTAAAAGTCTCTATATAGTTACCAATTTTTATAAAATCGATTAGATAACTATATAGAGATCTGACTGTACTAATAATATATAAAAAGTAAAATTATAAAACTGGTTATTAATTAAACTTACTATATATTTTAATATACACTGGTAAAAAAATGATTTATCCTACACATATCTTACACATATTGGGTACTTAAAATGTAGAAAATCATACACAAATAATACACATATCATACATATATCGGGTACTAATATATATATCATACATATATCAGGTACCTGATAGGTATACTATATATATAAGTACCCGATATGTGTATGATATGTGTATTATTTGTGTATGATTTTCTACATTTTGAGTACCCGATATATGTAAGATATGTGTAGGATATGTGTAGGATAGACCATTTTTTTACCAGTGATATATAATGATTTAAATAATTAATATAATATATATTAAATTTTATAATTGCAAAACTGGTTAAATTTATATTAAATTATATAATTTATTATAATAGGCAATTTCTATTTGTACACAGGGTGTTTAAACACAGGTCATATTAGTATATTAAAAACGGCATTCAAAACCTTCTTTAATGCCTTAAGTAAACTTGCAAAGAAGGTGAAAATACATATATTTATCTATAATATAATAAGAATAAAAAGTAAAAGAGTATAATATCAGTAGCATTCAATTTCAAATTAAAAAACAAAAAATTAGTCTATTAAAAATTATATTTATATGACCCGTGTACAAATATCCCGTGTAAACTTAGAAATTTTCATTATAATAAATGGTAAACTTTATTAATTACTATGTAAAAATATGTCTAAACCTTTTACAGTTTTACCAGTTTTGTCAGTTTCACAGTTTCGCGAATTTTTAATTTTTTAATAAAATGTTTCAACTAGTTTCGATTTAAACAATTGTCTAAACTACTTACTTTGCTGAAACTTGGAGTTTACAATTGATATTGATTAGATATCGCAATGATATCATTACGATATCATTACGATATTTTGATAAAAAATAGATTCGACGTCGTTAAGTTAGTCGTAACTGTATTTAATCGACATTGATTAGTTCGATATCTCTGCGATATCACTGCGATCATTATGCGATGTAAATATTATCACGTAACCACATCGTAGTGATGTCGTATTAACATTGAATTAATATTACAAAAATATTTGACATTTATTTGATATCGTAACCATGTCGTATTAACATTGAATTAATATTACAAAATATTTGACATTTTATTTGATATCGTAACCACATCGTAGTGATATCATATTAACATCGAATTAATATTGCAAAAATATTTTACATCTATTTGATATCGTAACCACATCGTAGTGATGTCGTATTAACATTGAATTAATATTACAATTTTATTTGATATCGTAACTACATCATAATAATATTATATTAATATCGAATTAATATTACAAAAAATGTTTTACATTTATTTAATATCGTAACTACATCGTAATGATATTATATCAACACTGAATTAACATCACAAAAATATTTTTATTGTAATATATGTTTATTATTTATTATACATTAATAATAATAATTTTTTATTAGTGGATTATTATGGGTGAGTGGAATACGTTTCTTTTCTTCCTTTTTTTTTTATTCTTTTCTTCTCTTTTTTATTCTTTTCTTCTCTTTTTTATTCTTTTCTTTTCGTATGTGAGTGGATGGATACGTCATTTTCAATTTTAAAAAATATATATATATATATAAAAAACAATCATGATTAATAAAATGTATTCTTTGTAAAATATATTTA